AGAATTTTCGGTTTAAGTTCATGAACCTGGAACCTTCAACATCCCTACATACCCTACATATATAGCCAACCATACACTACATGTTTACTATGCTCTCATCTTTAACTACTATATGTATTCAATAATATTGGTAAATTCAAAGTTTTTTTTTTCATTTTATAATTTTTTTAGTTTGCTAGGTAAGATTTGAAAAATATTCTTCTACTAAAAAGAAAAAATAAATTTTATCCCTTAAACTATAGGGGCTAAAATTAATTTTAAAAATTTTTGAATTTTTAAAATATCTTAAAATCTAGTAATTATAGAAAGATGAAATTATATTTGTTAGATTTCTCTTATTAAGGTGTATTTAATGGTAATAAAATCATAACTCTAAAATTGATAAATAAAAAGTTATATTAATTTATCAATTTTTAGATTTTATAAGTTATCCTATAATATAATATTTGTAGAAGGACAATTTTATTTCTATTAGATTCTTCTCATTAAGACGCATCAAATGGTGGTAATTTTATATTTCTAGGGTTAATGGATAAAAAGATATTTCAATTTAAAAAATTTGGTTACTATTTGTTATAATTTGTTGATCATTTAATTTTAAAAAATTATTAATTAAAAAAATTGAACTTTTTTTTTCAATTTCTACTTAGAAAATACTATAAAATTTATTACAAAAATATTGGTTTATGTAATAAAATATTTTAAGGTATTTAAAAGTGTCTTTAATTAAAAAACAAAATTGCAGACAAATGTTACAAAACAGTTTAAGGAATATGTTAAAATATCTTTTTGCTGATAGTTGCATAAGAAAAATAAGAAATTTCTACTTTTACTATTTAAGAATCCTTTATAATTTTTACAAAAATTCTTGTATGCTGAATATCTTTCATTATTTAATTTATCTTGAAACAAAATAATGAAATATTTTTTAATAATGAAATTTTCAATTTTTGCATTTAATTTTTTGGCAATTTCTATTTGTATACAGGGTGTTTAAATACGGGTCATATTAGTAGATTAAAAACGGCATTCAAACCCTTCTTTAATGCCTTAAGTAAACTTGCAGAGCAGGTGAAAATACATATATTTATCTGTAATATAATAAGAATAAAAAGTAAAAGAGTATAATGTCAGTAGCATTCAATTTCAAATTAAAAAACAAAAAATTAGTCTATTAAAAATTATATTTATATGACCTGTGTACAAACACCCCGTGTAAACTTAGAAATTTTCTAATTTTTTATAATTATACATCTTAATATTATGTAAAAATTTGTCTTGTCTTTGTTATTTTTTTCTTAAATGATTAGATTTCTTTTCATCTTATTGATTCTTTTTTTTTTAAACATTTCTTGCAAATATATTATATGTATAAAGGTCAAAAAGATTATGACATTTTTCTTTAATTAAAGAGCAATAACTATCTTATTACAATTTTTACAGATATCATATATTTTTTATCTTGTAATCATTTTACTTTAGTAATTTTTTTCTATTTATTTTCATCAATTTGGAGATTAAAAACAGTTTAATGTAATTTTTTTTCTTATTTATAATATAAGATGCATAATTTTAAAGTATTCTAATTATTTTCTCTTTTCTTAATATTATCATTTAGTATACCACATTGTTTACAAATATCTTTTCTTATATACCAATCAATTAGTTTATTTTCTAAGACTGAGTATGAATGTAATGAAGTGATAAATGAATAATATTAAATTTATTTTTTATAAATAAAGTGATAATTTTTGTTAAATAATTCTGTTCAAATTGCATAATATTTATCATATTATATTATATAAAATAAACGCCAAACTATAAAAATTTAATAATAAATGCCGCGAATTTAATATTTTATTTATATTCAATTTATGTGACAAATCTTTTGTTAAAAATAATAAAAAAAAATATTGTCTTTAAAGTAAAACCTATAATTATGAATTTACCAAATTAAGCCATAATATTTAACTTATTTAAAAATATATGAAATGTTATGAAATTAATTTTTTAACCGGATTCCGGTCAATCTTACCATTTTTTATCCGGATATTTATCCGGGTAAAAACCGGATATCTAAAAAAAAAATTTATCTGGGTTTATCCGGCAACGGATCGAAACACTACTCAGAACTAGCCTCATAAGATTGTGATAAGTCCTGCTTGACTTGCTCTGAAGTTAACATGTCTGTGACCTCAGGAATTTTAGTCACGTCCTGATTACAAGTGCCTCTTGATCTCTCTGCTTCTTTTTCTGCCTCCTCTCTCTAATCTTATTGCTAATGCTTTTCTTATACGCCTCATCCAAAAAATCGACCATTTCCTCATCATTACCATCAAAGTCACTAGATGCTCGTTCTACTTCATTATTGAGTTGGTATCGGGTACATTAACAGTTGGTACCGTCACCACTAGCACCGCTTCTTCATCATTTTGTGTCTGACCAAATGACAACGCCATTCCATCTACTGCTGAACCCCTGTTCTAATAATGCAAGTCTAGCCTCAAGCTCCGTGAGTTCAGCATTCTCAGCATCACGCATTCTCCTCAATAATTTGCTTCAACCTCGCATTCTCAGTCTCAACCTCAGCAAATCTTAGTAGCTTCTCTCTAAGTTCAGGAATCTCAGTATTCTCCTTCCTAAGTTTGGCTATCTAAGTCAAGAGCTTGGCATTTAATTCCCTTGGATTGTATGTTCGATAATAATTTTTTATATAAAATGGAATAATTCAAAAGTTCGTTAGCATAGATAAAAAAAACGAGGTAATATCCTCATCGGAATTACTGATTTATTGATGTAAAATAAATTACAAGTTTCGATAATACATAAACTTTGTTTTACAAAGTGAAATTACTAATGCCTGTAGTGTTTCGTTCATCTAAGCTATCTATACTAACATAATATTTCAACTAACTCTAATCCGATTTCATTTGTCCCAACGTCGATATTCTGGATAGAATAAAATGGTCGTCAGTTATGCATAGAACATGCAGAGTCAGAAATAAATTAACAGTATTGACCTTAGTAAAAATCACCGAAAGTTTATGTTCTCCGCTAAATAAGGTCCTCGAAATTTCTGAACAAAAAAAAATAGATACTAGCTTTGCAAGCTCTGAGTCGCTTCCTTGCAAATACACAGCCACAGCCGAAAAAATTGGTTCATTCATACCTTAATTGCGAAGAGTCTCGTCCGGACTTCAATAATTTTTTCGTCAACACTTCTTTCAAACTGCGATAGGTCGTTTCTTTCTAGCGTGGGTAAGAAAAAAGTACATCACGGAGTGTTACTGCGCTTTATTAATTAATTAAAAAAGCTCGGGTCGACACTCACGGGATACAGTGTAGCACAATATTCAGTAAATTTTTATTGCGTAACAATGGATAAACACATGGGATAACGTTAACTTTGTCTCTATAGTTATCCATCGGCAGATTTGGTCTTGATGCGGATAAAGTAATTCTACCTGCCTAAGATATTTCTTGCGATTTTCCTTTGTTCTCTTCTTTATTCTCTTCTTTATCTTTATTTGGTCTTGGTGCTGAAAAAGTAATTTCCCGCTGTCTCTTGCGATTTTTCCTTGTTCTTTTCTTCCTTGGGAAACTTGTACAGGTAGCAGAGAGCATCCGATGGGGTTGCTATGGAGATCTGGCCCCATCACCCTCAATATTATTGGTTTTGGACGTCCATTGGATCGTCGGAAATACGTCTGTTTCTTCTGTACAGAAGTAGTATTTTGTTATATACTCTCCTTCCCTTTCTGCTCCTCTCCGCCATTTTTTCGATACACCCCCAGATCTAGGGTGAGAATTACTTAAGAATTTTTTTTCCTGTTTCTTATAAACAGCTAAAAATTACCTCGTCTAGTGTCCATTGCGTTCTTAGTAGAGGAGTCCATTGGTTTGGCATGAAAGATTTATGTTATCAAAATAGAGCTAGTAATGGAACACAATCGCAACAAGCAACCACACACAGTCAACGTTTCCTGGAAAGCAAACCAGGAAAATATTATCAACCTTGCATTTGGTGCATCAGTTACAGCCACCGATTGGAAAGACAGGGAATCAGGCAAAAGAACGACAGATACCTTTTTTTGAATCGAAGTCCATATTCTCCGAAGTTGGTTCCGGTTGGTTATTATCATTATTATGTGATCTTTTATCTTTAATTTTTTTGGAAATTTTTTTTGAGATTCTGTATATTTGAGGATGTGATTTGCGATTTTATGTACTAAATAACAACATTAACATGTTTCCACTAAAAAAACTTATTTTCCAATATACAGTTACAAAAGCCCGATATGATTCTTTTATGATGAACTATTGATATTCTATTAAGGTTTTTTCCTTAAATTTAAACAATGGTTAATATAATATTACAAAAGTGATGCAAAGATACGTTATTGATGCATTATTAAACTCAGTCACTATGATGCTAACTATACTTGGAATTTAACTTATAAATAAACCGGAATCTCCATACTTTAATTTGCTCTTATAAGAAAAAGCTAGATTTAAATTAAAAGATTTTATTTTAACAAAACAAAGCTTATTCTTTGATTCTTTGACTACTGGTAAACTTAATTAGCGTCGGTCCTTTAGTTGATGCAAAATTTTGGTGCACGTTTCTTATTTCGCGCGTGATTCTTCCAAATTCTCTTTTGGGAATGTCGAAAATAAAAACTGATAAGCGAACGTCTTTCGTCGTATTAACTGTCGTGCTCGAGGTGACATAATAGGTGTGGAATAAGGTGACAAAATTGATGTCAACGATCTTAAATCTTGTGAGACCACTTGTTTTTTTTCGTATCATTTATGTCATATTTACGCAATACAATAGTTTATAAGTCTAAAAGTGTATTTTATTAAAAAAGAAAATACAAATGAAAAAAAAAATGAAAAAAAATCTATATTCTTAAATACAAAAAAAAAAATGAAAAATCTATATTCTTAAATACAAAAAAAAATGAAAAAAATCTATATTCTTAAATTATTTACAAAATTTAAATACGATTGTATTTATATGCTAACCAATCCTTTAAAATACCTTCATCAGCATATTTTCTACAAACATCATTAATAGTTTCTATAGAAGTTTTATTATTAACTATTTGTAATTTTAATGGAATAGAAGAATTTTTTTCTTTCCAAATTTCAAAAAATTTCACCAAATCTTTTCTAGTAAAATTCCAATCACCACGAATGATTAATTCAGACAAATTAATAGAAGAATGAGTAGCCAAAATATTTAAAAATTTAAATTCATTTGATTGAACACCAATACCAACACTTTTTGTTAAAAAATCCAACCAAGAATTATCATTTTTTCCCATATTACATCTACCATTTTCACTTAAGTTACTTGAATTACTTTCAATACTAGCACTACTATCAATATCATCATCATCATTTAAATTATTAAAATCATCATCAATTAATTCCCAATCTAAATCTATTGCCTTATTAATAGTAATATGGTTTAAATTTTTACAAGTAATTAATAAAATTTCCAAATTATTAAATAATTTATCATTAATCCAAAGGGTAAGATATTCAATTTTAATACAATGATTTGTAATAATTTCAATAAAATCTTTTAAATCATCAAAACATTGATCATTTGAAACTTCTAAATTAATTTTTTTTAAATTACCATTTGTTGTAGTAGAAATTAATTTTGAATATAAATCAATTGTTTGATCAATTAAATTACTATTATTTAATATTTCAAGTATTTCAAGATTTGGTAATTTAATTGTATCTAAAATTTTTAAATTATTAATTAATTTAATTTTTAAAATTTTTAAATTTGGAAATTCAGAATTATAAAATAATGAATAAGGTAAAGAATTAAAATTCTTTAATGTAATTGATTTAAGTGAATTAATATGTAATCTTAAAGATTTTGCTAAAGTATCATTTTCTATATTCATAAAAGATTCAATCTTAATATGTTCAATATTATTTTGAGATTCTATTAAAGTATTTAAACCTATTTCATTATTTTCAAGATTTTTATTTTGTATAATAATAAATTTTGTAATGTTTTGACAAATTTTAGATAAATCCAAAAATAAAGAAGAATCTATTTCAGTTGAACATATTAATTTTTTAATATTTTTTAAACAATTTCCTTCATCTTGTAAATAATTAATTATTTTAATATTTGGTAAAGTAATAGATTTTAAAGAATTACATTGATTTAAAAACATTTTCCAAATTTCTTCAAATAATAAATTTTTATGCATTAAACTAAAAGTTTCTTCTTCAAAATTTAAAGTAATATAATTATTAACAAATTTTGTAATTATATCTTGGGATATATATTTAATATATGAAATATAATTGAATTTAGGTTTTTGTGATAAAATATTTGAAGGAATGATACCATTAATATGTAAAACTTGTTTAGAATAATCTGAAAGGCATAATATGAGAGAATCTGTTATAAATTCCCAAAATTCTGTCGAAATACCAAGTTTCCAAGGTTTTCTCCATAATATGGGAACTGTAATTTCACACCATTGTTTATTAATTAATAAACATGAAAATAAAGTTTTATGATCTTTATATAAAAATTTTAAAATATTTAAAATGCAATCATCAGGTATTTGAAGCGGCGCCATTTTTTTTTTTTTTAATTGGGAGAAGGGAGGAAAAAAGAAAAAAAAACAAATTTATATTTAAGAAATAGGGATATTCTTTCTATATATATATAATAACTTTATATTTATTTAAATATCTTGAAAAGGCAACTATTAAACTGATATATAAAACAAAGGGGGGTAATAAAAAATTCGAGAATCAAATCAATCTTAAACAAATTCGGAATTACACGAAAAAAAAAGGCTTATCATGAATAAACATCTTGTTTCATGTTTGTAGCCGTTGTAACGTCGTACAAAAGTAATGGTCAGTGAACCGACTGAACCGTCCGTGTCACTTAATACTACCGTATTACACAATGTATTTCTTTAAAAATTAAAGTTTTATTTATTTAAAATAAAATTGGCAGTTGATCGGTACTCATTGCAAAGTGGCTGTAAATGTTTTGCATATATATAATAGTTTACATCTATTTTTATCGAGGCGAAAAAAAAAAATTTTTTTTTTTTTTTTTTTCCTTTTCATCAAATAAATCCTCGAATAAAAATAAATCTTCAAATAAATCTTCAAATAAATCCTAAAATAAATCCTCGAATATATCCTCGAATAAATCCTCTCGAGTAAATCCTCTTGGGTAAATTCTCTCGAATATTTCCTCTCGAATATATCCTCATCATCCTAATAATGAAGGTTAAACAACTTGGTGAAGATTGTCTTAAAGGAATTTTTGAATTTACTTCGGATGATAAGATTACTTTATATTCATGTTTAAAAGCTAATAGGGCATTTTGTAAAAACGTGGTACCAATATTATGGAGAAATCCTTGGATTAATTCATCAAATTATTATGATGATACAATATTTTGGAAATTAATTGGAAAGACTATTCTTAAATGTCTTCCAAAAGAATCTAAAGAAAATCTTTATAAGAAAGGGTTAAGATTAAATCCATCAATTACTGAATTACCATTATTTAATTATGTTTCATATTGTCAATCACTTTCAGATAAAATTATACAAAAATTAGTTGATAATATACTCGATGGTTATAATTGTGATCATTATGATTATAAATCAATAATTCAAGAAGAATTTTGGAAGTTATTTTTAAGACAAAGTTTTAATATTAAAATTCTTAAACTTCCTTCATTTAAAATTTTTGATCTCCCAGATTCAAGAGGTCGTTTATCAAATATTACAACATTAGAATGTGACACTTCACTTCCTTCTGAATATTTTTTAGAAATTCCAAAATATTGTAATTCAGTAAGACGAATTGAAATTTTTATGAATTTTAATAATTTTAATGAAGGAATTGAATCTCTTATTCTTACTCAAAATAATCTTAGAGAATTAAAATTTAGAGCTATTGAAGATAAAAAATTTAAATTTAAAAATAGTAAAACTATAGAATTTCTTTCAAATTCTTTAAAATCAATAGAATTTGAAAATAAGGTTTGTCTTTCTTCCCAAATCTTTTCTTCTTTTACTAATTTAACTGAATTACATATAAATCTTAAAAATTTTGATTATTGTGGTTTATATTGTTTAAAAGATATTATTATCCCTCAATTAGAAGTTTTAGATTTATCAAATGCTGTTGGTGTTAATTTTGATACTTATTCAAAATTAATTTCAAATACTCATGGTTTTCTTAGAATTATTAAAATTGAAACAAAATCTCATCCTCCTACTTCTAATATAGAACTTTATTTACAAACTTTAATAACTTATTGTCCTAGAATTGAGGTTGTACCAATTTGGTTGGCCAGACGTCAATCTTTAGATAATTTTGATAATTTTTTGGTTTCTTCTAATGAATTAAAAATAATTCAAATTGAATTAAAAGAACCTAATGATAATACTATTAATAGAGAAACTGTATTAGCGAAACCTATTTTTGAATTATTGGCTACTAGAGCTAATCATGAATTAAAGAAAATTTATTTAAGAGGAAGATGGAGTTTTAATCATATTGATCTTCAAGAATTTTTTGAAATGTGGAAGGGAAGAAGATATTTAACTTTTCATTTTGATAACGAATTTTATTCTTATTATATTGTTAAAATTTGTGAAGAATATTATAAACAAGGTGTTATTAATGGTGGTACTATTAATTATACGTCAAAGGTATAAAAAAGTGATTGGGATGGGACGGGAACGGGAACGGGAACGGGAAGGGAAGGGAAGGAAGAATGAATTTTTTTTATGAACATTTAAAACCATTTTTATTAAAATATATATATATATGTATATATTGTATAGAATAAAATTATATGTATATATATATTTTTTTTAAAAAAAAAAAATAAATAAAATTTGTTTTTTATATATATTTTACTTTCTCTCTCGGTTCAAATTCTTACGCGTTTTACGTTATGAAGAGTTCGTGTCATGATTCCCAGATTTGCGAAAATTCTTAACAATTTTGGAATTACCCGATTGAAACCTAATATTATAAATATTGCGATCTATCTAACGAGAAATTCAAGTAATATCTTGTTTTTCTACTAAGCCTCCATATTTGTAAATAAAGCTATGATGTAATAAATCAAGGACCCGAATCAATTAATCGTACCAGTTAACTAAAATAGAAGTTCTTTCCTTTTCCATCTTATTTCCCGATTGCTAATCTAAGGGGAACGAACCTTTAGAAGAAGGGGGTTTGATCACTTTGATGTCATGATCTACAAACGCGCCCAATCCTAGCTCCCAAAATAGGAAAATTGGAATTAAGGAGATGCAATGTCCCCCCTCTTCATATGACTTTGATCAATTAAGGAGAACTTTTTTAACGTATGCTAATTTTGAGTGATAATCATTGTGGCTTACAATAGACGGGAGTTTGAAAGTCAGTAGCTTACAAAATTATGCACTATTATGCAACCGGATGAAGATCACCAACCTCGGGTGGTTCTATTCGAAAAGCTAGATATACAGTGGACGAACAAGTCGAACAATCATTAGAAAAAATATTACACCCGTCAAATCATATTGACAAAATTTATATAATACATTGATAATGAAATTAATAAAATTAAACTTTTAAAAAATAAAAAATTTCAATTTAATGGAATATAAAATTTGGGTTCTGTTTTTCATCGCACCTGCGTTATGTCGCACCCCTATAATATGTTACATATAAAAGTCAAAAATGACATTCTAAATCCTTTTTGATATAATAAGAAAACTTGTAGAGCGGTCAAAAATACGCATAGTATAAGGTTTCTTATAGTACATAGTAAGTGCATAAGGTCTCACGTCAGGATTTTTTAAAAAATGGGAAATCTTAACGAAGTCATGTGATCGAATTATCAAAATGATCGACATAATTAATATATAAAAATTACATATCGCAGGCACTAAAAAAACACATTCCATAAAATTTTAAGAAATTGTGTATTAATATGTTATAGGTTATTTATTGGTTAAATGTTGACATTGAAAAATTATTCCAAAGATTTTTTATCTACTGTATGTTTAGAATGCCAGTTCATGATTTTAAGATTTGCTTAGTATTATATTATAATGTATTTTTTTCCTAAAAAAAATTTCCTAATTTTTAAAAATTTAAGAAAAATACATGATTTTATGTAAAATTCCTAAAAATTAGGAAATTTTTTTAGGAAAAATATATGATTATTATTGTATTGTATTTTTTAAATTGAATTTCACAACAATTTTAATTTTAATAATAAAGTTTGTAAAGCTATAAATAAAAATATAAAACCATAAATATAAATCATATAATGATATAAATTATTAAAGTATTATTATTTTAACAATTTAGCCTAACCTTTAGAATTACTTCAGTTATTTCATTAGTACTATATATCATTTAAAAGTATATTTTCATTTTCTATATCAGAAAGAGCTGCTTATATAGGTAATATAGCAAAGCTAATAATATAAGCCAGACATTAAACATGATTGTTTTTTGTAATAAATCTATACTCCTCTCTTAACAAACTGATTCTAGTGACTTCATTAAAGTATCGTTGTTAGAAGAATTGTCTATTGTATATGCTATAACCTATTATTTTTAATAAAAATAAATTTGTATTAAATAAATAAAAATAATTATATCAATATACTTATTTTAGCAAGAATTTTTATCATATTATTAAAATAGATTTTCTTTAAAATGTAAATCAGATAATTTACAAAAATCAATTAAAATAGGACCCTGGATATCTAATATAAAAGTCATAATGGACTTTTAGCCAAAAACACCCCTTTTTGCTGAAACTCAAAAAATTGTTTTTTGTAAATATCTCGGCATCCAGTAATTCAATTTTAATGAACTTTTTTTATTTTGTAGCCCTCATTTAGCTCTACAATTTAAAAAAATGTTCATCAAAATTGGACTACTAAATGCCAAGATATTTACAAAAAACGATTTTTTGAACCCTGAAAAATGGGAGGACCCCGGATATCTAATATAAAGGTCATAATGGACTTTTGGCCAAAAACACCCCTTTTTGCTGAAACTCAAAAAATCGTTTTTTGTAAATATCTCAGCATCCAGTAATTCAATTTTAATGAACTTTTTTTTATTTTGTAGCCCTCATTTAGCTCTACAATTTAAAAAAAAGTTCATCAAAATTGGACCACTGGATGCCGAGATATTTACAAAATACGATTTTTTGAGCCCCTGAAAAATGGGCCAATTTGCCGAAAGTGTGACTTATGACCTGTTTTGGAGATATCCGGGGTCCTAAAATGGGCCAATCTGCCGAAAGTGTGACTTATGACCTGTTTTGGAGATATCCAGGGTCCTATTAAAATTTCTTTTAATTTCCAGTTTTGAGAAATCCAATGCACTGTAATTTCAAGAAATAGAAGGAAATTGATTATATAGAAAACAAGTACAGTATGGAATCCTATGTATGTATGTATGGTGGTCAATGTATGGTATGTATGGTGTTAATTTTCATACGGTATAGTTATCACAATAGTAATATACTATACATAGGCCACCATACATCCATACATAGGTCACCATACATACATACATAGGATTCCATACTGTACTTGTTTTCGTCACCCCCAAGGAAATTCAAAGAAGTCCATACATTACTAAGTATAAATGCAAAATAACCCAGAGCATTTTATTAATATTCTAATGTGTTAATATTTATGAGAATTATTAAATGAAAAATAAAGATACTAAAAATACTTGTAAAATATTTTGAATATTATTGCAAGCTGTATACTAACTGTATCTACTAATATAGTTTTAATATTAATTAAAATACTTTTTAAAATTGTTTATTTTATATATATAATACAAATTTTTCTTTTGTAATAAACTTATTTATTTTACCAGTATTTTTTACTTTATATTCAACTTTACTGAAATGTTTCTTTTGTAAGTATTTGTAAAGATTTGTTATATTTCCACTAATTCACTTATATTTAGTGCTTAATTATTTAAATTGACATAATTTTATATACAAAATTATTAAAAAATTTATTACAAACAATATACTTACTTACTATATTATACTTTTATTGATTTTTTAACTAATATAAAGTGAGATTAAACTGTACTAGTTTTTTGTAAAGAACTACTAGAATTTAAATTTTTGGTATCTTAAACTAATTAATATATAAATTGGAAAGTTGTAATATTTAAAGAAAAAAAATTGATATAATCAATATAAAAAAAATTGGTATGAATAATTTAAAAAGGCCATTATTATTTATACTCCCAATTTTGTTATTCATACCCTTATGGCCAGAATTAAGGAAAATTTGGCCAAGCAATATCATGTATCAGTACATAATATTGGCTAAAGGAAGGGTACAAATAACAAAATTGGAATACAAATAACTATCGCCTTTAAAAAATATAGATAATCATAAATAATTATTAAATAAAAGATTTATGTATTATGTTAATTGTAATAAATAATATTGATTTCAATTCAAGTCATATAAATTGAGTCAATTTTGATTTGAAATCAAAATTAACTCAATTTATGATTAACTTATTATTTGACTCATTTATATCAATTCAGGAAAATTATTAAATTGAACTTAATTTGACTCAACTTGTAATTAGACCTGATTTATTTAATTTATTCAAAGCATTACTTTATGCTATACTTATATTTGTTTTTACAATATATATCTGAACTGAAGCCGGTATATATATTTATATTATTATTCTATTAATGATTAAAGTAACTGAAAAACTTTAACACTTTAATAAGTTAACTAGAGTTTAATTTAATAGGAGTCTTAAGTTGATTACAAATAATCATGTAAAATGACATTAGTAATAGGAAAGTTTTAAGTTGATCACAAATAATTATGTAAAATAATATTAAATGTTTAATTAAAAAAAATAGGTTTTTATTAAATAATGTAAGATTTTAAATATAACAAAAAATATAGATAATCTTTTGTTCATGAAATTAACTATCTTAAATTATACTACTAAAAATAATGCTTTTTTTGTATAATTTGAATACTATAATACAATTCTTAACTACCATACTATTTTTCTTTAACTAAGTAAAATTCTAATACTATTTATAATAAAATTTAAAAATAAAATAATTAATAAAATAAATATTTTCTTTTATTTTTATTTTTGTTTTCATTTTATTTTTTTATATGATGTATTACCTTGATGTAAATATGTCTAGATATTTCTATTGTACAATGGGAATGAAAAAATTTTCATATATTTGTAATTTTGTATAATTTAATTTTAATAAAATTTTGACTAAACATACTTTTTTTTAAAAAAAAGATAAAATAAATAAAATAAATATAATAAATAAAATAATTATAATAAATAAAATAAATAAAATAATTATAATAAATAAAATAAATATCAAATAAATTAAAAAAATCCAAAAAATTAAGAGATTATAAAATAATTTATATAAAATTACTGCATCATATTTCTTAATCTAATAATGTAGCTATAGATTTGATAATATATAATAAAGAATATTTTTTTTAAAAAAAAATTAAAACTTGATGAGTAGAATTAAATATTAATAGTATATTAAAATTGTTAATGATAACAGTATGTCCTTTAAATAGAAGAAGTAGTAGGCTATTATGATTTTTTAACAGTTATTAAAAGTAATAATAGCATATATATTTTTTAGATTAAATTCAGAATATTTAACAATATTTGCAAAATCTTTATATATTTCTTAATATAAATTTTATTATCAATAATATTAAAAAAATAAATATTATATTAAATATTTACTTATTTGATACTTTGTAATCTATAAAAATAACAAATATAGTAAAATTTGTAAAATATAATCTATACATAT